AACTACAGGTTGCCAAAACTAAATGAACTTTTCAGCTGGTAATGATGTGCAAATTGCTATCGCAGATGCATATTTATGGGAGAAATGCTCACAAGCACGTAGCTGTTTCCAGTTACAAATGTTTCTTTGCCTTTGTCCTTAACTCGTCAGTGATACCATTAGAAGGGATATATCTAGATGTATAAACACAGCTATTTTGTGTCATTAATAGCTAAATAGCTACTAAACAGCTATTCTTGTTTAATTTATTGAATAGCAATTTAAGCTATTTTTAAGCTATTAGCTGTTATGTGAAGTAGCTGTTTAAGCTTTTCTGTACACGGCTTGGTGAAATGGGGCTCCACGTGAGAAGAGGGGCCGTTGTTGTGCCTTACGCCCAGCTCCCGGGTGTTCAGGTGTCGGCGTGCGGGTACCTGTAGCGTAGGGAACGGAAGGCTTGCGACGGAGTACCCTGTGCTGTGAGCCACGCTGGGCCTGTTGCGGGTACACGTCTGAGAAGGAGTGGAAGCAAAGGTCTGTTTCTTAGCTGGTTTTGGTTGGTTTTTTTTTTAATGGGCCGCCTTGTAAAGTACCGGTACAAAACTGGGAGACATGGGAATTAAACTCGGACACACAAATTAAGCAGTATTATTTTTTCACTGCTTTTTTTTTCTCTTGAAGAATACTTTTCTGTAATGTGACGGTTATGAGGAGCTACCTTTGGGTGAAGAGGTTTCTAGTAAACTTCAGATGGGAAGACAATCCCTTAAAGTACGTTCAGGGAGGTGACGGGGGCCGGCCCGAGGCCCAGCGCGCGTGTTACCCAACAAGCTGGAGCTGCGCTTTTCTCTCCGAGTTCTGCTGGAGCCTGAGAGGAAGCGCTGGGTTTCCCGTGCGGAGCTTGCTCCCTTGCCCTGGAGTGTCTCACTTTGAATTTCGTAGTACAAAGAGCCGTTCTTGTGAATCATGTTTTCTTTACAGTTTTGCATTCCAGCTCAGCAATTCATTCCTCCTTTTTCTAATGGCAAGAACGTTACTGGAGTTCACGTAACTTTGGCAAAATGGCTGGTTCATGTTGTTCTGGGGGGCTTGAATGCTCCAGTTCCATTCCGTTGTGGGTTATTCTAAAAATACAACACTTATAATGAATATTAGGTATACTAAGTAGTGACATGTTCTGATAATCAGTTAATATCCCTGAATTGAAAAGTTTTTCAAAGGTAAATATTTACTGCTGTGAAAGAGAGACTTTTTCAGTAGCCAAACTTACAGCTAACCATGTGGCTTCAGAATATTCATCTTCCCATCTCTCGCATTGTTAGAATATTCTCTTCTCAGCATTATTTGTATGATCTCAAATGAAAACAGCATTTTGGAAATGCTCTTTTGAATGTTTGAATGTGCTGTGGAGTGTTTTGGATACCTCAAGTCTGTGTGTTGTGTGTGTTTTAGGCAGGTGCATAGCATACTCAGGATGGTCGAACTTCTTTCCTTTCCTTTCCTTTCCGAAAGGACCGAGTTACTTGTGATACTTTTATTTCTGACCGAATTCCCCTGAAAACCGGAAGCACTTTCGGCGTTTGCGTGTGTGCGAAAGAGGCAGTTCAGCCGTTACAGCAGATGATGAGCAGCCTCTTTGCAGCAATCCGTCTCCTCGCCCGCGTGCGGTGCGGTGCTAACTAACATCGTCCCAGTTCCCTCTCCCCGAGCTCCAGCGCAGGAAATGCCTCACAACTGGTGACTCAGCGGAGCCGCGATGGGGGCACGGCAGAGCCTGGGCTTGGTACCCAGCGTGAACGCCAGATATTGGCAGCCAGGCTGTACGCCAGATATTGGCACCTGCTGGACGTTACAGCATCTCCGAAATTACCACTCACTGATGTCTAGACTGCCGGGCACTCTGGCACGCCCGAGGCAGGGGACCTGCTGGGGCGCGTGGTGGCAGCCGTTTAGCCCAGGACCCGGTGTGCTGGAGAAGGGTGCGCGGCTGAGTCTGTCTTCTCAGCTTCAGGGCAGGGTGCTGCTGAGGGGTGCACCCAGATGCCGGAGTCGAGAAGCACTCCCAGCTGCCCTACGGCGCAGGATCAAAGCTCTGCACAATCCTTGTACGAGCTTTCTTCTGCCTCTTCCCCGTATTAATACAAATGCCTCCCCCTGAACCTCGCCCGGTTTTCAGAACCTAACTTGTCCTTCTTAAAGCCCAAACTTCTTGTCAAATGATCCTCCCTTGTAAGACATGTAGTAAAAATGTGAGATGCGATGGATGGGAGAGTGCTTGCGTTAAGGTACATACCAAATGTTTAATAATGGTCCTGTTGAGTTACGCTGCCTGAAAATTGTCAGTCTTTTAATTTTAAACAGTTTTACATTCATCCCATAAACTATTTTGAAACCTGAAGTGATTTGTTTTCCTGAATTTAATTTTTTATCATTTAAGACTATTTGTAGCTGTCAAAAGTTTTTACTTACAATGCTATTACTACGATTTTTCATCAAGTTCTTACAGCCAGCACCCCAGAAAACATAACTGTTATTTAGTATTGTAGGACAAACCTGTTCTAATTTTGTTGTAGGTTTGAACTGCTGTTGGATAGAAAGGAGGATAACAAGAGTATAGTTAAATTTTCAAGTTGCAAAAACACATTCAGTATGTGTAATTTAGCAGCTGTTGCAGACACTTGGGGGCATTTTCTGTAGCATTTGAAAATTCCCTGTAGAAGTGAGACAGGAGACATGCATTTAGCATTTCAAGCTTGAAAAATATTTTAACTTTTCCTGAAATTGTGTTTTGAAGTTGAGGATTAACTCTGTGCCTGGCTGCACAGATGGCTACGTTTTACATATTCCTTTGTCTAGGGAAAAAAGGAGACCACATGGTCAGTTAATGGCTTTAAACACTCTTAGTGTTTATTTTACATCTTCTTAATGGGACCGCAGAGAATCTGGGAAGATACTCAGAAAATTGCTATTTATGGTGTAAGACTTGTAAGATGTGTTGTATTCTGTGTCTTGGAACCCATGAGTTATTTTTGCTCCTGCTTATTAATCCTGGTTAATTAATTTTATAGCTTCATTCCTTAAGATTTAACGTTCATAATTCTGGTATGTAAAAATAAAAACTAAGATCACCGATGTATAGAAAATGTTACTTTACTACTGGAATGTGAGGACTCTTATTTTTTAATCTTTTAATAGCCAAAATTATAGATGAAGTAGATTTTTAAGGAGAAGCAGACTCCATATCCAAGCCACTGAAGTGGTTATAAAGTTAAATAAGATTTTTAGTCTTTCAGCATACGACAGAATGCTTTCTAAGCTTTTTCCCTAGACACTTTTGGGAAATACCACAGTGAACTGTGGACTAATACAAATCAAATGTGATGCTGGGATAACTGATGGAAAATCCATTAAGTCAGTGGTGTGTCACCAGAGCAGACAAAAAAACCAATCCTTTAAAAAAAAAAAAATTCCTTAAAAAAGAAAAATTACTTTTAAAAATTTTTTTAAAGAATTCCTTTAAAAATTCCTTTTAAAAAATTCCCTTAAAAATAAAAAATCCTTTTTAAAAAACCCTTAAAAAAAAACCCCAATCCTTAAAAAAAAAAACAAACCACAAAAAACCAAACCAAACAGCAAAGCATATAAAACCAATCCTTACATTGGATATTTTGTGCTTTGTAATGACTTTTTTCAAGTAGGTTTTAAAATAATATCAGCTAAAGGATTGGTAGGTTAATGTAGCTTGTGTAAATCTACACGTGGCACATACAAGAACTCCTGATAAAACCACCGAGTGCTGTACAATGTTGAGCGCTTGTAAGTAATCTGTCAAGTTTATAAAAGGTCATCACTGGAATACAGGCACGTGACATCATTTTTTTTTCTCCATTTGAAAGTACTGGTGAGGTTTTAAAGGCTACTACTGTTTTATCACATAAAGAGGAAGAGTTTCCTGTAGTCTTTTAAACCTTTTAAAACCCTTTTAAACCAACATGTGCAACCAAATCCATCTGATTAAAGTTGTTCTTGAAGATAGCTGTGACTGGTTAGGGACTTTGCGGCTTTGTTCCAGTTCCTGCTGCACAGAGGTTTCCGTTGCAAACCCCCAGTCGCTATGGGATGGAAACGCTACGATGTCCCCAGTCGCTATGGGATGGAAACGCTACGATGTCCCCGCAGTTCTGTGCGAGCTGTGCAGGCCAGGGCGGGAGGTAGGGGTGAGATGGTTTGAGGTGCTGCTGGTCGCTGTGCTTGGGTCTCCAGTCTGACGTGCTATCAGCCAGGCATTTCCGCCGGATACTTAATGCACCTCTATTAAATTAAACTAAGAGCATCCGCAGGTCTTTGTATATTTTGGGGGTGTTTGTGTGCATACGTATGAGAACACACACCGTGCCTTCTAGTCGGCTGAATCCTCCACCCCTAATTTATTCATGGAGGAAAAGGTTACATTTCCTCTAGATTTTTGAGGGTGTTTTGTTTAGCTTTTTGCTTCCAACAGACTTCCTAGAAAGAAAGGCTAAGAGAGTGTTGCAGGAAAAGCAGTGTTTGGTGAGAAGTTTGGTTACCCTGAAGTACCATTTCCAGTTCCTAAGACGCAGAAGGAACTGGTCTGTGAAGGTCAGAAGCTGCCAGCGTAGTTCACGTTAACACGACATGACGAATGTCGTGTTACAAACAGAGTAGAAGCTCTTTGTCTCGTTAGAAATCTGGAAAAGTAGTAACTTCTTACGCTGCAACTTGGTAAGCCTGAAGAGTGGGTTTGGGTTGTTATTTTAAGCCTTACAGATAAGGAAGCTCAGCCTGAAACTTTGCAATCACTTCTTACGGGTGAAACGCAGAGAATTCTGTCTTTGCTTCTGTTAATTATCTTAATTGTCTGACGGCTGTCAGGTTTTCACAATGCCATTACTATCTTTATGACTGTTTAATGCGATACAGTCTATGTTAATAAATAAAACGTCTGTAAATGGAGATGCTGAAAAATTAACTCTTTTATTATTTTTCTTCTATTTTTTCAGCGGAACCCCTGCCTTTAATGGACTTGTGCCGAAGATCAATTCGTTTTGCTCTCGGCAGAGACCGCCTGCATGACATAGAAATTCTACCTTTGCCTCTGTCTCTGAAAAATTATTTACAGTACCAATAAGACGTCTAGAACCCTCTGGCCTCACATTGGACTACATCAATGCAAATGGCAGAAAATTGTTTACAGCAAAATACAAATCTTCGTGATGGACACTTAAGTGTTATTTAATTTTTAATATATATTTTTTTCCTGAACCAGTGAAAGCAGATCACTGTGGGGGACTACTAAAGAATGTGAAAACGTTGATTTGATTGAGATTCTGTATTATCTGTTGCCTGTTGTGTTTACAGTCCCGAAGGCCATTATTCTCATCTGTCGTATATTGGTTTATCTTCGTTGCCTCTGGTAAATGCCAATAGAAAATCTGACCTGCAAGATCCACTGTCATGCAGGACAGAGCTTTCTTCAATAATGCAGTTGGTTTTTTTCTTCTTTCTCTCTCCCACACCTCACCCCAATAGATAAAAATAAATTGGCAAAGGAAAAATCTTGACAGTAACTTTTGAAAAATATTTAAACCTTGCCTTTGTTATCCAGAGTTGTGGAGAGCTTTGAGTGTTCAGCACTCAACATAATCAGGCCTATAATATCTAAAAGTTCTAACATTTAAAATAAAGCAGATTAGTGTCTAGAAGAAGAGTATGCGATTTAAAAACACTAGGGAAAAAAAACTGGTATGTGTGTCAGAAAGATCAGGTTTTGGACGTGGTAACAGTGAGATGCAGTCCATTGTTTTCAAGACCAAATCTAGTCCCTCCAAAGTTCTGCAGTTTATAACAAAGTGTTCACTATCCCAAGAATTTAGGATATTCGTATTTTAGAAAGCTTGTCACTTTTTTATTTGAACAAATTTATAATTTTTATGTGGTATGAACTCTAAGTACTTGGTTCTCTTTTTAATGTATGTGTGGTTATAATGTTTATTTATCTGTTTAGAGTCTGTGGGGTTCTCATTTAACTGTTCCCCATCTTGGGGTGACTGATTTTGGTTTTTTCCCCAACTCCACCTGAAATGCATTAATTTTTTCAGGCTCATCCCATTTTTTAAGATGCTGCTTTCTATTTGCATTTCTTACATGTTTCAAGTTATCGCCTGATCAGTTATCTAGTTTTTAAACTGGAAGTTGTTGTTACGGCAGGATGTCAAATGTTTAGACTGAGCTGCCTCCAGCATATTTTAATGTGAATTTACTGATGAATGAGGAGAAAATTTCTAATAAAGTCTACTGTCCAAAATAAAACTCGTGCCTCCTTTGATGAAGTGTTAAATAACATAGCACTGGGTACAGGGTTGAAGTTCAGTTCCTCCTGCAGCTTTGCAAATGTTTCTGTTCGGCACTCCTTTAGAATTGCCGCTTTGGGTTCACGTGCGAGTGACATCGCAGGCAGTGTAACGTCCTGTGCCTGATTTATCCCACTCACTCTGAATGTAGCTCTACTCTTGCTTGTAACACAATTCTGGCCAGATTCCTCTAAACAAAACCTCAGTTTTGTGCTAAGTTGCACTTTGAGACTCCACGCTTTTGAGGTAGGTTGAAGCTTGACCGCTGCGCGCTGATGATACAGGCAAAACCTCTGAACCGCAGATGGTTGCCCTTCTCTCAGTCACCCCAGGGAACAGAATCACAGTTTCAGTCGGAAAAGAGAAACATGAGATAAACAAGATACAACAGCGTGAGCAGCAGTGGAAGCAACAAGGGTAAGGTAACACAGGGATGTCAAAAGTTAAATAACAAGTATTTGCTTCTCTGGGCTTAACTGTGTAAGTTGATGCTTGCTTCAGCATCAACTTACTTTCAGACTTGCTTTCGCTTAAGGCGAGAGGTACATACTGTATTCCTCACCTTCGTCTTGCAAAGGGGAAGAAATTACAGCTGGGGTCTGTATTGCTTTTCCCACTTGCTTTGTTTAAATTAAATTTCTTCTCTCAATAGGTATGTAGGAAGAAGGAGAGATAAAGGTGTAATAACTCACCCAAAAGGAAAAATAAGCTGTGTCAAGTGATCTTTCTTAAGCGAGGTAAACAGCTGTTCAGGAGTGGCGTAGTAATCCTGGTAGACCTTATTTTTCCACCACTGAAGTCCATTTTAGGTAAGCGTTTCCTAAAGTTAGTGTTTTACTGTGCGTAACTAGACTTCATGTTCCTTTGAATAACTGCAGTGACACAACTGTTAAGTGTTGTCTTCTCTGTTCTTTAACTTGACCTAGGCTGACAGCTTTTTAATGTGACAGTGGGAACGGATATCATGAGGCAGATTAATGGTGCCTCTGTATGTTAATTAACCTAGTTATTTTACAGTTGGACTGGCATTTCAGTTGGTGCCCCGTCTGTGATGATTCCTCTAAACCAAATGTCCTTTATTTTAACTTTCAAACATTTTTTCTAACACTTAGCTGTCTTCCAGGAGTGCTAGTTTTACAGGAATGATAGTTGTATTCTCTTACTGTTCCCTAATTGCGTGTTGTGATGCTGTGGATGGTAGATACACCCCATCGTGTGGGATTAGGGCCCCGTTTTCAGGGATCAGAGTCTTTTTGGTATAGTTTTCTTGGTCCACAGAAGTCTTGTAAGGAGGATATACCATGGAAAATACTAACGATACTTCAGTTTTCCTGCTAACCATCCCTTTGCAAATAGATTCTCTTCCAAGAGGGCTTATAGGGAAACCAGAGTGCCCATCTGTATTGCTAAGAATGAGTCAAGCATTGAGGCTGAGCAAGTAGTCAGAGTAACTCCTCACAAAATGTACCAAAAAAAGAGTCTCCTCTCTGTTGCTGAACTCCAGCCTGGGTGGTATGTTCCTCACATCGATTCTCAAGGCTCACTTTAGGGGAATGCAAGCATTGTTTACTGTCTGCTTCAGGAGTGAACTGAGCAATAATTTACAAGGTGGCGATGCATTGGCTTTTGCCCAGAACAGAGGTCAAACACTAAGTTATGATCATTCTTCACCCAATGCAGTTGAAACTTCTCAGTCTCTCTATCCTGGAAGCCTAAATGCAGCAAGATACATACCCAGAACTCCACTCTCAGGCATATATCTAACAGCAAGGATGATTGCTGTCTATAAAGCTATACTACTTCAGATTTTCAGTAAGATCTCTTCCATCTGTACTTTTAATTTCCAGCCACTTTTGGCTCTCATCACATGAAGAAACACAGACAATAGACATAATGGTTTTCAGCTTTTGTGTGCCCGTTTCCGAGCAAAACAAGTATAGCTTTTCTAGACGTGATCTGGCAGTGTTCCCACGGCTGGTAAACTAAGGCTCATAGAAGCTCTTTAGAGCAAATCACGTGAGGCTTTATTGAGGTATTTAAAGGAAAAGGGCACGTGCCTGGGAGCTGCAACCAAATTGCAACCTTTGTGATGGGTGCGTGCTCATTAGTGGGTTGCAATAGGAAGTATTTCACCTACTCTTTGGGATTTGGATCTCTAATATGGCCCCTTCCTAGGAAGTATTGAAGGTGCAGAATCCCTGCTGTTAAAACTGGTTAAGACTTGTGGATACATGCGTCATAGCTTCTCTTCGTTATTTTCTCAGTATTGCAGTTCTTCATCCTTCTGCAACTCTTGTGAGGGTGGGGGCTTGATTTATTCACCTGGAGGTGCTGCTTTTGTGATCATGATTCACCAGAGCTATAATCTCAGTGATGTTTTGGACCACTCTTAGCTTTTAGACTTACTAAAGCTGTAATTCTATAACACCTAAATTTGGGGTCAAATTTGAGAAGCCCTTGTCCTTGGAATAGCAGCTGTCATGCACGTGTCCCTATTACTAGGCTGACAAAGTCAGTGCTATGAAGGCTTTATTTCTGCTTCAGGTTGGGCCAAGGGAAATGTACTGAAATGTCTGCATTCTCATCTGGAGGTAATGTAATACAATCTGTAGAGAAATTGTGAGGTCTTATTTTAGACTTTATATGTAGTCTTTCTGGTGTTCAAGTTTTTATCTCAACGGATTGACTCAAACTGTTCCTCTTGCGGTAGGATCTAACTTTGCGAGTTTCTCAGTGTTCACTTGAAGCTGGGAAAACCTGTTACAGAAGCAGACATGTACAAATCATTTGAGTGTTTCTGATAGTTACAAAAGAGCAGCAAGCCAGAAATGCTATAAAATTCCCTCCTCATCTCCACTACAGTTGGTATTGTTAAACTATAACCATATGTTCTCACGTCAGTCAGCGGCAATCGCTACGCAGCAAGCTTTGTATCAGATCCAGCAGCGCTCATTCAGGTGCAATTCCCACTGACATCAGCGGGAGATCGGCCTGAGTCAGCACTGCTGCCTCTGGTTCCCACGTAAAGATCTCCAAACATTTCCAGTACATTGTATTGAGCGATACTTTGTTATATGTAAGCAAAGTCAAGCAGATGGTTTCTGCGGCAGTTTTTCTAATTTGGCAAAACATGCTGGCAAGTGCAGTTAGGTAAACGTTGTGAGAAAGTTGAACGAAAAAATGCATCTAGTTGAGGCCGAGAGTGATGTTCAAAGGGGAAACTAGACTTCTTGGCTCCTTGATGATGATTTTCAAAAGCTTTTTAGTTTATAAACCTTTAAAATCTCAGTGTTTTTTATTCTGTATACTTAAAGGAGTGTACGATCTTTATTCATTCCTGTTTATCTCACAAAAGAATGTCTGGTGATCATGAAGTGGAAATCCTTTGTTTGCCTGAATCAAAAAGACACCCAAAACCCTCCTTCCTCCTTGGGAAATGTTCTCAATAGACATAGAGCCGTGAGAAATATACAACACACATCAGCCTGAATGCCCGCCCCCCCAGCTTTTTTTTTTGCTTGATATTGGAACTGTTCCTTCAGAGAAGAACTACAGTGTGTTCTGCAGGCAGTGTCTCAAATAAAAATGTCTTGAAGCATCTGCTACAAAGCAGAACACCCTACTGAAGGTATATTAAAGCAAATTTGAATGTACTATGGTGGGGGCAGAGAGCAAAGGACTGGAGCATTGGAGGAGAGCATTTCCCTAAAGGTTTACCTTCTTTTCTTTTTTTAGCCCTGCTATAGCATGCAAGTACATTCAGGGGGGAAGAAAAAAAGAAAAGTTGTTCATGCTTCCACCGCCACTGGGAGTTTAGTGTTGATGTTTAAGCCATAGCATCTTTTTCCCCACTAAACTCTTGTTGTGCAGCCTTAACATCCCAAAGCTCTACCACTGACTGCATGTGCTTCAAAAGCCTCTGAAGGACTCTGGGCTCTGCTGTCATGTGAAGTAGCACCCTGTTCCACATATTGTCCTGTTGGAACTTCATTCATTAACTTCTAGGCAAAGAGCGCAGCTGCTCTGTCATTATTGCTTTGACTGGAGGAACATATGGGGGTACCCAAACTAGCTTAAATACTAGCCAAATGGAAGTCCAGTAATTGGCAGAGTGGAGCTCAGTATGGGATAGTTCACTGCGCCAAGCAGCAGTGAGACAGCAGTGTCAGCATA